TGAGTCAATTCTCCAGCCCCCTATTTCATTTCTCTTGTTACCATAGAACTGCCTCTCCAACCAAGCACACCATGATACTAGGGCTATCACATACCAACATACATCTCACTAGTAATTATTCTAACCATTTCAAATACAGTGATCTTTAATCCCCCAGATCATAAGATATAGGTCCTATTATATTTTAATTTATGAATGAAGAAACAGAGGCCCAAAGGAAATGGATACTTTTCTAGGGTGACACATCCGGTGAAAGTAGAAACACTCTCTGCTCTTAAATATTGTTTGCACTGCCTCTCACATAGGAGTGCTGTGTATGTGCCTGCAAACTCTGACTAATTCCATTTTAAGGTTTCCCAACTATGTTTGTCTATGTAATGCATTTTAAGTTGTATTAAATTGAGGACATAGTAGTGGAGATCAAGGTGTGCAGTATATAGCTGATTTTTTTTAAAAAGGCAAACAACAATTATGAAGTGAGAAAAGGATAAAGAAACCAGAGAAGGAGATGGGAGACTGATCTTAAAGTCACCAAAAATGACTGAAAAATGAAAAGCAATCTACAAAACAGCAAGGAAAGGTAAGAAGGCTTGGATTAGTGAAGAGGAACAGAAAAAAACAGCATAGTTATCTAGTCACCCTAAATTGATCTATAGACTAACACAATCCCAGACAGAACCCCAGATAATTATTTTGTAAAAAATAAGCAGAATCTTAGATTTTTAAATACAAAGACAAAGAATCCAAAATACCGAAAACACACTAGAAAAATTAACTGGAAGACTTATACTACATGACTTCCAGACTAAGTAGAACTAGGGAAGTTTCTATTATTATATATTAATATATTAATATATCAACTGAACTACCTAAGTAGCAGCAATATTATTGTCAGCCTAATTTTGTCATAATTCAAAACATTTAGATCAATGGAACAGAATCCAGAAATAGACACAACCTTACATAGTCAATTGATTTTTCAAAAGGTGCTGGAATAATAGAATTGAGTATGCAAATGATACGTCCTAACCCTTACCTCATATCATTCAAAAATCAGCAAAAATAAATTAGAAGCCTCAGTACTGAGCTGCATCTATAAAATTTTAAGACAAAAGTATAAGAAAAATGTTTGTGACTAGAACACAAAAATATGAACTACAAAAGAAAAAAATTAATAAAACATACTTCATAGGAATTATAAGCTGAAAACACATATCTAATTTTTAAAATTGTATTCCAAATATATAAAACTTTTACAGGTTCATAACAAGAAGACAAACAACCCAATAAAAAAAATGAGGCCAAATATTTTAACAACAGACACTTTGCCCGCAAAGATATATAAATGGAAGATAAGAACATGACAAGATGTTTAACATTATCAGTTCTCAGGGAAACAAAAACAAAACTAAAATTACTAAAATACAAAAGATTGTCAAAAACAAAGCCAAATGTTGTTGAGGTTGATGTAGAATACCTCAGTACGCATGGCCGGTGAGAAAGTGAAATGGTCTGCATAAAACAGCATGACAGTTTCTCATAGTTAAGCAGGATTGCCACATGACTCAGTGATTGCACTTGTAGATGTTTATCCAACAGAAATCAAAACATATGTCTACATAAAGGTCTGACAGGATATATTCAAACAGAATTAAATCATGTTCAAAACATCATCGTTTCATGAAGCCAAAAACTGAAAACAGTTCAAATGTTCACAAGTAAATGGATATACAAATGGCAATATTTCTGTACAATGGAATAGTATTCACCTATATAAGGAATGAATGTACCAGGTCTGGTGGCACAGGCCTGTAATCCCAGCTACTCAGGAGGCTGAGCAAGAGGATCACAATTGTGTTCAAAGCCTGCCAGAGTTACAGAGCAAGTTCAAGGTTATCCTGGGCAACTTAGTGAGACACTGTATTTAAAAGAGGCAACAGGAAAGAATATTGATATGAACAAAATAGAAGTGAAGTCAAGGCACTTCTTCCTAAATCCTCCACTAAGGATAGTTTTTTGCTGTTTTTTTGTTTTGTTTTGTGGGGTTTTTTTTGTTTGTTTTTTGTTTTTTTGAGACAGGGTCTCTCTGTAGCCCCAGCTGTCCTGGAACTCACTATGTAGACCAGGGTCACCTTGAACTCACAGAGATCCGCCTGCCTCTGCCTCCCGAGTGCTGGGATTAAAGGCATGAGCCACCATGCCCAGCTAAGGATAGTTTTAAACCATGAACCTTGTATATAAAACAAACATAATGCTCTAAAAATAGACAGGAAACTAAGTGTATTGGTACACACCGATAACTATAGCACTTGAGAGGTGGAGGCAAGAGGATTAAGGGTTCAAGGTCACCCTTGGCCACATAGTAAATTCCAGGCCAGCTTGGTCTATGTAGTCTAATAGTGACTATGGAAATCACTGTGGAGGTTCCTCAAAAAGCTAGAAATAGATCTACTACACGATCCAGCTATACAAGGCTTGGGTATATACCCAAAGGACTCTATATCCTACTACAAAGATACCTGTTCATCCACGTTCATTGCTGTTCTATTGACAATAACCAGGAAATGGAAACAGCCTAGATGTGCGTTAGCTGATGAATGGATATGAAAATATGATGTATTTACACAGTGGACTATTATTACACTATTAAGAAAAAACAAAATTATGAAATTCACAAGTAAATGGGTAGAACTGGAAACAATAATCCTGAGTGAGGTAACCAGACCCAAGAAGACAAATGTCACAAGTTCTCTGTCATAAGTGGATACTAGCTTTGAATCTGTATATGTGTATTTCAACTGGAAAAATCCACAGAGGTCAGGAAACTAGTAAGCAGTCATGGGGAATGAGTTTCCTTGGAGGAGAGGTAGAATGTAGTGATGTAAAGGGTGAGTTTAAGGCTAGCCTGGTCTACATAGTGGGTTCCAGGTCAGCCAGGACTATATTGGGAAACCCTGTCTTAAAAGGGGGGGGGGCCCGCTGGAGAGATGGCTGAGTGGTTAAGAACACTGGCTGTTCTTGCAGAAGACCCCAGTTCGAATCCCAGCACCCATATGGCAGCTAACAACTGTCTGTAACTCCAGTTCCAGGGGATCTGACAGCCTCTTCTGTCCTCCGCAGGCATTGCACAACATGGTTGCACTTACCTACATGCAGGCAATACATGCATACACATAAAATAAAAATAATAAATAAAATACTTTAAAAATCTTCAAAAAAAAAAAGAGGAGGAGGAGGAGGGCCTAGAGCGATGGCTCAGCAGTAAAGAATATAAGAACACTAACTTCTCTTGCAGAGGCTCTAGGTTTGATTCCCACCACCTACACGGCAACCAACAACTGTCCACAACTCCAGTTCCAGGGGATCCAACACCCTCTTCTGACCTACATGACTATTGCACAACATGGGTCCTCTGGAAGAACAGCAAATGCTCTTAACCACTGAGCCACCTCTCCAGTCCTAAGAATAAAGGTTTTATACAAGTCTTTTAGACAATAATCACCCTATCTAGAAAACACCTTAGAACAAACCACAGCCCCATGATCCCCATTAGTCGATGCTGATTGGGGAGCTTAGACTTCTCTCACACCTGGCTGTAACAAGTCATTTAACATTCTCTTGTCAGGGTGCTAACAGATAAGATGGAGTGGAGATTCAGGACTTTCACCTCCACTTGGTGGTAATAAGGCACCATCCTCCAAACCATCAGGGAAACCACATGGCGCTCCTTGACTCCATTCTCTCTGAGCAGGACAATGTGCCACTCTCCATTATCAATGGAATCATAAGAGGTCCAGTGGGAAGCTGAACTTTCACAGCACTCCTCCTACTCACTGCAGCATTAGTGGAGACCTCTGCCACCTTCTCTTCCTCCTCCTCCTTCCTACTCCCCTCTTCTTCCCTCCCTCCCTTACTCATGACCCAGTTTGCTTTCTTGTATGTTGGCTACGTTGCCTTTACTTTCCGGTAGGCTTGGGGGGGGTGGGGGGCTGACTAGATTGACAGGTCTGTAGTTTACAAATTTGGCGATCACAGTGGAAATATAGGTTTCATTCTATTCCATCAAAGTTCCAGAAAATGCCTCTTTGGCTCTAATTAATCCACCCTGGCTATGTGTCCACCTTTAAGCTGATCACTATCCAAGAGGGTGCAGCACCCTCATTACCAGTGTTCAGTGGTTTGCTGAGGAGCAGCTGAGTAAAATCATCAAGCAGCCTGAGAGTCTCCAGCAAAGGAGCCCAAGAGAAGGGAATCTCTGGCTGACTGAGCAGATCTTCAGGTGTTGTTCTTCCTAAGATTGTATTAATAATAATATTATTATAATAATAAGTGCTATTCCATTTAATCTGGTCAGCTTCCCCCAAGGAATCTGACATGGGTTAACATATGTAAAAAGCACTTTAAAAAGTCTGTCAGACTCAAAATAAGAATCACAGAGCAATTAGCTAATAGCATGGAAGAAGAATCCTAGAGAGGGGAAAAGAACATAATCCTAACTGGGGGAGTGAAGGCATACAGCAGCTTAAATATTAAAAGGACTTTGACCTAATTTGTAATCAACTGGTGAACAGGATATATTGGTTGAACTACCTTTTGCTTTTTTGATTCACAGATTGATAATCCCAAGACTGTTTTGAAATATCTTTTCAGTGTGGAATACAGATTTAGTACAGAACAAATATCCATTGAGCGCAGTTCCCAGCACCTATATTAATAGCTGTCAACAGCCTGGAACTCCAGCTCCAGGGGATTCAACACCCTCTTCTGGGCTCCATGGGTACTTGCACTCATGCGCACATACCCACACACAGACACACACATATGCACACACTTTAAATTTTTTATTTATTTTTATTTTACATGTTTGAGTGTTTTGCCCACATGTATGTAGGTTCACATGTACATGCAATGTCTGCAGAGGCCAGAAGGAGTTTTCAGATTCCCTGGAACTGAAGTTTCAGACAGTTATCATCCACCATGTAGGTACCGGGGACCAAACCCAGGGCCTCTGCAAGAGCAGCCAGTGGTGTTAACTGCTGAGGCATCTCTCCAGCACTTATACACATAATTTTTAAAAATAAATCTTTAAAAACTAAATAATATCCTTGCTGGGCACAGTAGTTCATGCTAGTAATCCCAGCACTTGGGAGCTGAAGGCAGGAGGATAAGGAATTCAAGATTACAATTTACATTGTAATTTAGAGGACAGCCATGAGACCCTGAAGGGAGAAAGGGAAGGAGGGAGGGAGAGAGGGATGAGGGAGGGAGGAAGGGATGGAGGGAGGGATGGAGGAAGGAGAGGATGCCCTTGTAGTTAATTATGAAGAATAGAGCCTCCTCCCTTTTTTGCTTTCCTCCCTCCCCACCTAAACAGCCAGTTATTTGATTTAAAAGGCAGTACCTAGGCCCACTAACACAAGGAGAATTGGGAGATGATACAAGAGTTAGTAAGAGACAATATCTCTGTTTTGAAAGCTGAAAGCAGATGAGCAAGTGGTAATTAATTTAGCAGAACAAAGTCAAATGCTTGCAGTGTTTGGTTGTCCAAAACATGGTTATAGTCTGGCGAGATGGCTCAGTGGGTAGAGCTATTTACCACCAAGGCTGACAATCTGAGTTTAATCCCAGGAATCTTCATGGTGGAGAAAGGGAACTCCAGCAAGTTGTTCTACACATGCATGCTATGGCATGTACAAACACGCACACGCACACACACACAATATAATTAAAAAACATTCATGTTCAGAAAGATTCAGGAATTGGAGTATCAATAACTTTGAAGGTAGGAATACAATTAAGGTTGGATATAGTAGGGCTGATTGAAAATCTGTCTGAAAAGCAAATGGCCCCCATATTCTCCCATCGTCCCAATCAGTCAGCCATTCTCCCTCCTCCTCCCCAACAGAAGACCGGAAGTGTATCCACTGACACAGCAGAGACTCTAGACTGGGGAACATTAGCAGATGTGTCCTGTGAAAACAGAATCCAGTAAAAGCCAGCACACTGTGTTGAGTCCTCAGTCCTCTTCTTCCCAGTGATAACGGCCAAGCTTCTACAACTCAAACAGGCAACTGGAGCGTTGGTTTCTGGAGAAACCAAACATAAAATTAGAAGACTTACCTACCACCCATGTTCATGCCCTCTCCCCACAAATTTTCATATTCATGTCCTCTCATTTTGTTTTGTGACCCACTGAGATTAACCAGAGTCATCTGGGCCCTGGGTTTGGAGCTATCCCCCATCCAGGAAAGTGGCGCGTGTTTCTCTCCCTGTGGCAAAACTGTGAGGTCCATGGCCACAGGCACAGAGGACCACTCGTTCTCCTATTTCACATCTCACATGTCAGATGATAGTGCTGGGAGCTGCTTCTCCCGAAGACATCATTTATTCATACTTAGTACACTGTAATTAGGATGATTCTTTTGAGATTTGCATGCTTCATCCGTGAATTTTCCTAATAGCCTTTTTAAAAGACATGCCTTTAGGATCTCTGTGAGTTCAAGGCCAGCCTGGCCTACATATTAGGAATATTTCTATATTAGCATCTAATGCACAGGGCTACCTTGTTCTCAAAGTCATTAACTCTAATTGCTAATAATAAAAAAAAAAGTATCTGTTCTTGAGAACATTCACCATCTTCTAATCGAATTAGTTTCAAGAGGTAGGAGTGGGTGAGCGTGACATAAGAGGAAAGCAGAAAACATGCTTTAGTCCTCTAAATCATGTGCAAAGACTGGGGAGGGACCCTGGTCTGAGACTACCACAGCCATGTCACTGCCCCACCCTGAGACTTGCCATTCTGAAAGGCAAGGACGTTGGGCTTGTTGTCAGAGCTCTTCAATATTTGATGGCCTCTGGCTTCTGTGTTCCAAGCTAGTAGGGAGCTAGGCAAGGGTCACTTTTAAAAGCCCCTGCTAGATAGAGCCAAATCTCCCCAGATCCTGCTCCCAAACTATTTTTTTTTTTTTTTTTTTTTTAATCCTAATGTGTTTATTGGTCTTGCTAACAGAACTAGGATGGTGGTTTCTTTACAGAAGACTGGGCACTGGGCACCCCCCCCCATTTACAGCTGCACTGGAAAAGACACATTTTCTTAGTTCAAACATATATTCAATTATAGTCAATTGTTCTTTGGAGATGGAGATGGCAGTGTGTGGTTTTTATTCTTATTTTTGTTTATCGAAACAGTCTCAAGACCAGGCTGGCCTTGACCTCCTGATTTTCCTGCCTCTACTACCCAAATGCCAGGAGTATAGGCATGCATCACCTTCGTACTCTTCAGAGAGTCAATCCCTGCCTTGTTCAGTTTGTAGACACTGAGAGCAATAATGCCAGAGAAATTGGTCTTGGAAAATCATTAATTGATGCTGCTATTGTGGTAAGAAGACCTATTATTTACAAACTACATTAAAGAACCATTTTGGTTTTGGAAACCTAGGAGACAGTTTAGAAAAGAGATAAGATGGGGGCTGAGAGATGGCTCAGCAGTTAAGAGCACTGACTGCTCTTGCAGAGGACACAGGTTCGATTCCCAGCACCCACATGGCAGCTACAAACCGTCCTTAACTCCAGTTCCAAGGGAATCCGAAGCCCTCTTCTGACCTCCATGGCATTGCATGACACAGGTGCGCTCACATACATGCAGGCAATATACTCATACACATAAAATAAAAGTAATAAAATTTTTTTTAAAAAAAAGAGATAAGGAGAGGTAAGATTTTTTTACATAACAAAATAAGAATATTAGGACTTAGTCTAGCTCGGGTAAATACATGCTTAGCATACATGAAGCCCTGGGTTTGGTTCCTGGTACAAAGAAACAAAAACTACTGACTTCCTTCAATCATGCCATTGTTGAGAAGGTCTGGAAATAAGCAGAACAAAAACAAGGTAAAATATTTCCATGACTAGGCATCGATGGTGTGGAGGATGGAGACGTATGGATCACATCAGCCAGGGGGAATTTTCTGGTGATAGGAATGTTTCAAAATACATTTAAAATATAGATGATATATTAGTTACTTTTCTGCTGTTGTGATAAAACACCATGACCAAGTCAAATTATAGAAAGAAGAGTTTATGTTTACAGTTCCAGAGGGATAAGAGTCCATCAGAGGGGTAAGCATGGTGGCAGAGGTGGCAGGAGCCAAAAGCTGAGCACTCCCATCTTCAAGCGCACACAGGAGGCAGGGAGAGCAAGCTGGGAGTGGGGCAAGGCTATGAATGCTCAACTCCCACTCCCAGTGATGTGCTTCCTCCAATAAGGCCACACCTCCTAAAGATTCCACAGCCCTCCCCAAACAGCACCACCAACAGACCAAGTATTCCAATACTTGAGCCTCTAGGGGACACATCTCATTCAAACCACCACAGATGGCTAGTATTCAGTCTGGCAATTAATCCTATCTTTAATTAAAATTTTGATAGTTTGTTCTTCGTGGATATTTGGAGCTAAAATGTTCTACTTACAGTGAGTGCCTCAGACAGACCTCACCACAGTCCCTGAACCTGTAGAATGTCAATAAAAGACTATCACATGTCACAGTTCAGTGTCGATGACAGTTGTCAAGTATGGTCTAGTACTGAGTGGAACAAGTGTAAGTGGAACCAAGATACTCCATCAGTGAGCAAAACATGGGGATTCTCTAGGAATCGGCCTAATATTTGAACAATGTAAGATTACAAGGTAAACATAAGAACAGAGAAAGATAAACGGAATGGGAATTGCTAAAGGATGTTGTCAAGGGCCTCAGAGAACAGGGTCACATACCCACTGATGGACCCCATAGCCCCTTGCCCTTTAACTTTGACTTCCAAAAGGGAAAATGCCACGTCCAAGACACTCTGGGCCTGCCCTTCTTTTCTCTTCCTGAAAAGACATCTGAAGGTTAGATGTTAGATCCCCAAAAAGTAGATTAGTAAGAGGACTGGAAATATCCCAATCTCTTTACAGAAATGTTGAGTAGAGCTAGATCCAGAGTAAGTTAATGGGAGTGGTATAGAAGTCAGTAATGGTAGCATGTGCTTGTAATTCAGTATTTAGGAAGTGGAAGCAGGGAGATCACAAGTTCAAGATTATCCTCTCCTGCACAACAAGTTAGAGACCATCCTGGACTACATGTAAACCCTGTCTCAATAAATAATAATAATAATAATAATAATAATAATAATAACAACAAAAACAATAAAGCCGGGCATAGTGGCGTACACCTTTAATCCCAGCATTGAGGAGGCAGAGGCAGGTGGATGGATATCTGTTAGTTCAAGGCCAGCCTGCTCTACATAGTGAGTTCCAGATCAGCTGGGACTATAGGAAGACCCTGTCTCAAAAAAAAATGATGATAATAATAAAGAGAAGTGACTTAGATATGATTAGATGGGGAATGTGCCCAGGAAGATTTTCTTTATACCATGGTTGCTTAAAAGACAAAGTGATTAAAGATGATTTTATATATGAAATACACAAACATTCAATAAAAAAATTTTTAAAAAACACAAAGTGCTATGTAAGGATGGGCCCCAGTGTTCAATCTCCTTGACCATCTTCCTGGAGCGATAAGAGGGAAGGACAGGCTCTTGTCATCCTCTTCCAGGCAAAGCCTCAGCACCCCAGTTCTACCCCTTGATGCTCTCTTGAGTCACATCTATTTTTCCTGGGGCAGCAATTAAGCAGCGAGTCTGCTGAGGGAAAGCACACTCCTGGGCAAACAGTTGAACTCTCGAGAGGTCACTAGCTTCCTGTGGAGTTCCAACCATGTTCCCATTCCTGAAGATAGAAAGACAGGAAAATTATTGTGGCATGGGAAGGAAACCACTGAGAAAATGGCCCCTTCATCCTAGGTCTGGCTTGCCTGTCTCACTGACAGAGACAGAAAACTTCTGGCACCACCGATAAGGCCAAAATTGCCCAAGAAGATAATAAAGTTTTCCAAAAGACACCTTGTCAAGGACAGTAAATAAACTGATTATTTAGGACCAAAATGATGCATGACCTTGAGTTTCTAATACTTCCCTCTCTTTCCTAAACCTCAACAATTCCCTTCATAAATCCTTCTCACAGCTTTGTTTGCAGAAGAAAGTTCTTAATTTTCAACCTTGTTGTAAACTGCATCTCTGAGTAATGTTAACAGGCATGGGGTTTTAGCTACCTTTTGAAAGCCAACAAAATCCCATATATACTCATTGTAAAGAAATCTAATTGCAACTCTCCCTAGAGAAGCCCACACACATTCTATGCAGTCTCTCTCTGTCTCTCTCTCTCTCCCTCTCCCCCCTCCACTGTCTTTCTATCTCTGAAATGCCCTATAGCTTCTTTGACCATCAGACGCTGCTTCCTTGCCGTCATCCTCACAGTACAAGTCACCAGAGAGGGTGCAAGGGTCCACACTTCATCTGCTATCTACTGCCTCGCTTGGGTGTTCCTTTTTGTTCCCTGTTGCAAGGGAAGAAGTGTCTCCCCTGCAATCTGAGGCTGCATCCCACTACCATTCCTCCATTATTGTACCTGCTCTATGGACCCTTTAAGATATTATTTTCTAATTGCTCCCTATGTCACCTCATAAAAATGCAATACTTTAATATATGTTTATGTACTGTGGCTCTTTGGAGGACCACAAACTGCTGTCATAGCTAAGATATTTTTGTCCTGCTCTGTATCTCCCACATGGACTTCTTTACCAGCAATCCCATGTAAAAGAATGTTAGCTGCATTTGCCAGGAGAGAAGAAACCAAGTGTTATTATATGAAACTCTTCCCCCAAGCTCTGGGGAGGCAGGATTGACAAATAAAAATTGTCTATTTTAATATAGTGTGCAAGTGATGGTTGGTTATACATTGTGGAATGACTGCCACAGTCAAGCTAATTAGCACATCTAGCATCTCATCTAGTTGTCTTTTTACTGCAATGGAAATAGTTCTCTTATCTTAGAAAATTTCTAGCATAGACTAATAAGGTATTATGAACAGTAGTCACCATACTGTGTAGCGGGTCTCCGGTACTTACTCATTTCATAACTCAAGCCTTGTACCCTCTGACCAGTATTTCCCCTTTTCTGCCAAACTCCAGCTCCCAGTAACCACCATCTT